ACAATTGTGTGTGCATTAATCTCTCTTTTTTGGAAAATACCTTTAAGACCAATGATTGCAATGACTGGAGAAATATCATTGAATGGATATGTCTTGCCTGTATGTCATATTAAATAATGTAGTTAATTAGTAATTTTTAATATATTTTTTTTTCCTTAAAAGGTCGGTGGAGTAAAAGAAAAAATTTTAGCTGCACACAATTCAAATATTAAAACGGTCATCATACCTGAACTTAATTTGAAAGATTTAAAAAAAATACCTAACAATATCAGAGTAAGAATAATTAAAATTGAAATTAATTGATATTTGTACTTTTACTTATTAAGAAGTAAATGTATGATGTTGCTCGTAATTTTTAATCATTTCAAAAAACTATTTGTTTTAGGAGGATTTAAATATTATCCTAGTGAAACATTTAGAGGAAGTATTGGATATTGTTATTCCTGGAGGATTGGCAATACTGCAAAACCCATCATTTTCAACAATGGAAATATGTAAACTTTAGTTCTAGCATTAACAAACTATCAATTATTTTAAGTATTTAATTAAATACTCTGTATTATAGTGGCATAAGTTGGGCGAAATTTTGGGGGTCTTTGGGAGACTTCTAACTTCATACGACAAATTTTTTTTTAGCAATTTTCATATTATTTTCCTAAAAATAATAACATAATATTTTATTTTCAATATGAATTAATATAAATACATTCTAAAATTTAAGCAGCTACTTATAATTTTAAAAATTTCTGAGGTTGCGATACAACACCTTTGCTACCTTTGAATTTTTCAGAGATTGCAAATATGACCCATACATCCCCTAGTTATTTTAAGCCACTAATGTGATACATTTAAATATTATAAATGTAAGTTTATCAATAAATTACTTAATTAATACAATTTATGGACGATTTTATAACGAGCATCAGGTTTTTATTATCTATGTTTAAAGTTTAAATAAAACAAATAATTTTAATTTTTGGACTTTTATGTTATTATGTTACTAACCAGTAACCTTTTATACTTCAGAAAGCATTTGTCATATTCATACCATCAGACACAATTTGAATCATTAAAATAAATTAAAATCTTACTTAAGATTACTTTAGTATCACTGATATTAGGATATATAGTCAGTAGCAAGTTGGGGAGGGATTTCATCTTGGAAAAATATAAATAACACATTAATACCTTAATTCTACTAAGATTCCAAATAGTATAAATTTATATTAATATATATATATTATATACGTATAGATACATATACTATTAGTAATCTAAAATTCAAAATAAAATCGATATATCATTATACAGATACGACTTTAGACAACACTCTCTTTTATTTAATTCATAATATGGAGCACAGTAAAACAAATGATAGAGATACTTGGAAGATAAACTTTTTTTTATGTTATAAACATTAAAAAAGTGTAATTATGCTTATAAGCAAGGTTAACTAAGTAAAAAAAAAAAAAATATTATTAAGTATTTCTTTAATTTCTCAAAGTTTATGGCAGAAACAATATCAAACTAACAATATTTTACAAATAAAATACATAGTTAATAATTATGTCAAAATTTATCTTGTAATTGATTCAAAGGTGGCTGCTTGACATTCAACAAGCAAACAGAGTTCTTGCCTTCAGCACCACAGCCAGTAAATAGCACAGCACAAAGTGCAAATGAAGACATTGCTGCCCAATACTTTTCGCACCACCGATTTACTAGGTCTAAGTTATTTTTATTTTTTAGTTGCATGTGAGCCATACAAAACCGATTAGATGTGTCTTCCATTGATTTACACACAGATTCTAATACAGCTTTGTTGGTCGAATGTTCTTCAATATTTAACTTGGATGTTGACCAAATATTATCATATGCTGCCATTAGGTTCTTTTTTAGATGAACTATACCTGTAAAATATTATAAATTATATGAACATAACTAAATTAGTTTTTTTGTATAGATTTATCATCATATAATGTGAATTATATACTGACCATGTTGTACAAAGCTTAGGTAATAAAATAAAATAGAACAGATAAATAAAAAAAATAGAAATGTCCAAGGATCATATTTATTTAGTAGAAGAGTTAAGATGATGTTTTATCCACACGAGTTTTATTTGTTTTATACATGTACAACATACCAAATTTGTATTCACTAGCTTCCAAGTATACTGTTTGTTTTTATATTAGAATGAATTAGCCATTTAACTATTATCAAACTTTTAGTCAAAAACATCTGCGTTCTTTCAGTATTTTTTTTTTTTTTATTAATTTTAATTTTTAAATGAGTTATGAACATTTTCAAGTATTAATATCTTACATATTCACAAGCCTGGGCATAAAAGCGTTAAAAAGTTAAAAGTTAAGTTAATTTTAACTTTTAACTTAACTTTTTAAAATTTAA